GCCTTGAAAATTTTGTGACAAGTCAAACAGGGGCTCAGAAAATTAATGAGATACTTATCTCCCCAGTTTTCTCAAAGGTTGCCCTACCAACCATTGACGGTCTCGATTGTTGGTTTAGTGAAATATCAATTGAACACGAGAAKATAAAATTAGTATTTCCAAGCGGCCATGTGATGTTCTATTCATTATATACATATAAGTCTATCGATCTATTAGTAAGAGTGCTTTTAGTCAAACTGTRAAAAACTTAGTTAACTAAATAACTATTTAGGTGATGTCACATAAATTAGTAAAAGAGCGCCAAAGCAATCGTCGAGAAAATCAGGGGGAGATGTATTTAGGTGGCTTTGTTTTACCAGGCCTGCAAACATTAACAAACCGGCAAAGTTTTGTGAAATGCACTGTTATTTTCCAAGCTTCAGTTGAACAGTCTTTAATAGTTAAATAATCTGGATCTCTTCTTTCTGAAGCTCTTAGAAAATGTGAAGCAAGACAGTGTTTAGCGATGTTCTTTGTGTTGGTTCGTGTCGAAAGAGTTAGCTTAAAAATATAAACATAGGTGCATTTCATGTTAATTATTCTTCTCTACTTTTATAAATAATTCGATAAAATTCAGAAATAGTGCCCTATAGAACTGTGGAAGAAATAAAATTGAACCTTCGCTATCAAAACTTTTAAGTGCAGTTTTCTATGACCCCCCTGATTTTCTCGATGGTTGCTTTGGCGCGCTTTTACTAATTTATGTGACGCCAACTAAATAGTTATTTAGTTAACTAAGTTTTTCACAGTTTGACTAAAAGCACTCTATATAAATATTGATCTAAYTGGCCAAAAAAATGTGTCTCCAAGATATGCATTTCGACAACTTGGTATCTCATTGATATGTATATTATATAACAAATGTGTTTTCACTCTACTACAATAACTATTAATATTAAGCTATCTCAGCGATGGATGGTAATGTCCATATTGGCCATATTAGGTATCATGCTATACAGTCAAGTAATGTCAAGATGTATCCATAGCAATTGCAGTTTTGCTGACAGGTTTTTCTTCACATGATGTTGTAGGTGGATTAGATGTGACATCTTGGTTTGTCTTGTCTTCTATTAATCAAATAAACAAATATCTTGAAAAATGCGAACTAAGATAAAAAATGCTTGGAAGCATCAAGGCATCATATACACACATCCAGCCCTTATACAAGTCATTTACCAATTCATTACTGGTTATACAAGTTATTTACGAATTCATTTTACTGGTTATTCAAATCAGTGGCTTTGAGTGTGCCTCATTGTATTCAGCTGCAGCTGGTCTTATTTTGTATGACAAAAACTCTCAGTTTAACTTGTTGAACTTCACTTATAACATTCTTCAC